TCTATATATACTAAAATTCTTATTCTCATAACTTTTAAATGGTGAAATGGTGCATCATTAGACAGTAATTTTTGAACCAAGGTACCTCAAACAGACTGATTTACAGAATATGTCCAAAATCAAGAAGCCATGACTCCAGTGGACTTGAAATTTGACAGATTTTATAAAATTATTTATGACATAAAAATTAATATAAAATATTTTATGACATAATACAAAATAAGTCATAAAACATTTTCTTTAAACAGATACATCTTTGAATATGTCCCTGAATTTTTAAGAGCTTTTCTAGTGAAGGCAGTACGTTAGAAGCTCAGTCACTGTTGAAGGCATTGAGGAATTTGGTAAGGAAATATCTCTGAAATAGTGACCCAGTGGGTCATAAATATTTGGCACCTTTTAAAATTAGTCACATATTATTCTAGTCATCAAAAGGAAGATTCACATATTCCAGAGCAAGATTTTCCAGCCCACACTGTCAGGTTGAGATAGTCAAAAAATTGAATTCTAGATAACATAGCAGTACATGAACTATCTCTTGAGGGTTTTTTTTCTCATTACACTATTGTTTTTTTTAATTTAAAAATTATAGAAGGGTTGTTATTTATGTAATCAGATTTATGGGTCAGGGGAATGTAGGTATCTTATCCAAGGACGTTACATTGCTTACAGGCTACACATGCTTCTGATGCATAAGTAAGCATAGAAGGTAAAAAAAGTAAAGGAGTCCCTGAAGATTTTACTTCGCTAGTCACTGCCGACTATAGGGAGTGGTGCTTATTTGTGCTTCAAGGCCTTTAAGCAAGTATTGTCCAAAGAAATTTCCGTGGTTATGTGGCCAGCATGACGTCAGGGAACACTGATTCCCACTGAAATGGGTACCTATTTATCTACCTGCATTCGAACTGCTACGCTGGCAGGAGCTGGGGTGAGGACAGGAGTTCACCCCATTGCTTGGCACTCAGGACTCGAACCCGGGGACTTCCGGTTTGGCATCGCTGTGTTACAATTGTAGGAGGCGGGGCTTCACGAACTTAGGCTGAACCCTCCTTGTTGGGGGATCTTTAAAGGGCAAAAGTCACCCTGTAGGGTTGACAAACGATCTTGCAGATCGCGGAGAGTCACAACTCTCCTGCTTTGATCCGAGGCTTACTCTCCTATCCAACATCGAAGAAGGAGAGGCGGCCATTATGGCCACCGTGAAGCTGGGACAACCGAAGAAAGAAATGTGCTGGAGTGGTGTTTGAACAGTGATCTGGAGCTGGGTGAGATGATTTTCTAGAGATTAAACTCCAAAGAAAAGAAACCCCGGAAAGATACTTGGAGAAAAATCATAGACTTGAAAGAAAGTGAATTTTAAGAAAGGATATAATTTTTAAAATGCAGATTGGATTTGAATATTTGTTGGCACACTTTGAAAAGGCATTTTAAAATGCTGGAAATATTGGACTGTATATTGGAAAAAGTGAAAGAAATTATTTGAAGGGAATGGTTTTCAGCTGTTATACTGGATACAATGCTGAAATCCTAGGTGAGGATGCCATCTACTGGTGAAAAAAAGAAAATATGCTATATTTTTACAAAACTGAGAAGTCCTTGGGATAAATCAGGAATACAGAGTGGAGATAAACAACATCTGGAAGACTGTGTTTTCTGCTGCATATTATTTGATAATTATTCTTCTCAAGACCAAGGAGGGAAAATTTCCGAGACCTTTGAAGATTGCTAAGTAGAATAGTTCACAAACACTTGGAACTATCACTGAAATCAAAGAGTTGGTTATGTGACTGATGAAGACAAGGGAAAATCTGGAAGGAGTAAATTGACTGGTGGAGGACTATAAAGAACTACAAATATTGGGCATTTTGAGAAATGATTTTGGGACTGAGTGAAAAGCTGTAACATTGGGTAGAAGTAGAATATCCACCAATATAAGATGTGTGCTACTTGGATTTAGATTAGAGGTAGGAACTATGAAGAGGGGAAACATTATTATGCATATTCTTATATAATGTTTTAAAATTATAGATACAGGAAATGATCAGAAAATGAAAGATGATTGTCTCAGCCCCTCTGGAGCCGCCAGTGCTTCACCAGGCGTTAAGGAACACACACACACACACATACGCACCCACGATAGAAGCTGCGGTTCAAAACCTGGTTTAATGAAAGCGACTGGCGAAGCACCAGTGGCTCCAGAGGGGCTGAGAGGAAGTCAGAGATGCCCAAGCTTCCCGCCTGGCTGGTTTTATAGTGCCTCATTAGCTCATTAACCTCATTATCTGTCCCCAGGCAATCTCTCTCAGCTGTTACACTTGAATCTGCCGCTTGTTTTTCCCTTCGTTTGCCATTGGTCGCAGCCCCTTGACGTCAGTCTCCTTTTCACTCTCAATCCCTCAGACGTATGTCCACACACCCCTTTTTTGTGTCCCGCCCATCACCCATTATCAGTGTGTATGTTGTCCTAATGCAACACCCCCCTCCACCGTGATCCGTTGCTGGAGTTTATTCAGATGTTCTGGATCCTCCGACGGTATTCCCCTGCCCCCCCTTCGTGGTCTTCTATGCTGTTAAGGTGTGTGTGGTGTCGAGGGTTATTTGACACTCGACAGATTGTATTATACACATTTAAATAACATCACTAAGGTTACTATGACTATTAGCATTGAATAATAAAATATTGATTAATTAAATGACAAGGGATTATATATATATATATGGAGTAAATATTATGTTAACAACTTTGATTGTAATACATATATTGTTATGACAATGATGTGAGTATGCGAATATAATTTTAAAAATGTACAAGAATTGAAATATTAAAAGGGATAAGAGAGGAAAGATAGAAATAAGTAAAGTTACGCACAGTCACTCATGCCCTCGTCACCTCTCGTCTGGACTATTGTAATGCTCTCTACATGGGGCTCCCCTTGAGGTGCACCCGGAGGCTCCAACTGGCGCAGAGTGCGGCCGCGCGGGTGGTTATGGGAGCAACATGGAGCTCCCATGTAACACCTCTCCTGCGCGAGCTGCACTGGCTCCCGGTGGTCTTCCGGGTGCGCTTCAAGGTTCTGGTTACCACCTTTAAAGCACTCCATGGCTTAGGACCTGGTTATCTACGGGACCGCCTACTACCACTAACAGCCTCCCACCGACCAGTACGCTCCCACAGAGAAGGGCTCCTCCAGGTGCCGTCAGCCAAACAATGTCGGCTGTCGGCCCCTAGGGGGAGAGCCTTCTCTGTGGGGGCACCGACGATCTGGAATGAGCTCCCCCCAGAGATACGGAGGATTCCGGATCTGCGCACCTTCCGCCGCGAGTTGAAGACGCTTTTATTTCATCAAGCGGGCCTCGCCTAAATCTTCTCCCTTTTATGTGTAAATTTTAAATTTTTAATGTATTTTAAAATTATGGGTATTTTAAATTATGGGTATTAATTCAGCCAAATTTATTTAATTCATTTTATTCGATTTTAAATTTTGTATATCTATGTGTTTTATTTCATGGCTGTACACCGCCCTGAGTCCTTCGGGAGTAGGGCGGTATAGAAATTCAATAAATAAATAATAAATAAATAATAAATAAAATAGAACACCTATTAATATAAGATTTGTATTATTAAACAGGAAGAAACAGGAAGAAACTGGAATTGAGGGAAATAGCATAATATTACTATAAATACTTTTATGTAAGATGTCAAAATTAGTATAGAGATGAAAGGATTAGAAGTTGAAAGATGATTGTATTATGTACAATGTTATCATAATGGTGTGAGCATGATCAATGTACGATTATCAAAATTGTCAATTTTATTATTTGGTATCAAAATGAACGATACCTAGAAGCAACACTGTTCATGTATTTAATACTTATATATATATATTTAAAAATAAAAAAAATCTTATAATAATAAAAAAGGACTTGAACCTGGGCTGTTGACTTTTCAGCCAAGCCCAGCATCTTAACTGCTGAGCCTCTGTGCCGCCCAAGCACAGAAGACCCAATTATTTAATTACATAAAGAGGAAATTCTTATAGTTGGCCCAATTTAATTTTTTGTATTTAATTTGCTAAAGGAACATTACATATGATTTACAGACCTTACTTTCTCTGTTGCTTCACCCTTATTCATATTCTCTCTTTTAATATTTTCTGTCCTGACCTTTCCAATTTAAAGAGTCTTTCTAAAGTCAAACTGTGCTCAACTTCTTAAAGTCATATATTAATCAGTAAACCTGGTCAATAAACCAGTTCCTAATTGATTTATTTCTTACACTCCAACAACCATAGCCTCCAAAAATCTCTATCAATCTCAACATAGAGAACATCTACCATAATGCCCACTGCTCTGCCATTGAAGAAAAATAACTGGAAGAGGAACCACAATTTATATCCCAATCAGAGAACAGAAAAGAGAATTATAACTTAGTATCTCACATCTCTTTTTATAAAGTCAAAATAAAAACAGTACATTTTTTTTTCATTACAGATCCTGCACTGAATCTGTTGGAACTAACAAAATAAAGCCAAGGAGGGAATATTATTTACCCTCTCTTGAGCTCCTGTACAAATGTGATGTATCAGATCAATAAATCAAGTTCAACATCTAAACATAAAATGCTGAGATTCTTTTTCTAGCACACTCTTATATTTTTAAATATATGTCTTCCACAACTGTGCAATGTCAATACACAAACCACAGATTTCACTGATTATCATAAACAGTCTTGTAGGCTTTTCACTACTGAATGGTTTTCACTTTAATTGATAATCAGAAAAACTGTAAACCTACCTGTTTTCTGGTTGTAAATTCTTTTAGCTTTAACTGGGAAACTTTGCTTTAAAATTAAAATGGCACTCATTTCAGACATGATTTCAAGGTTCCACTTTCTAAAACACTCTTATATTTCCCCTTCAACTAATTTTGGGGATTTTACCTATTAATAGGATGCTGCCCTAAACACATGAATACTATCTACTGCTTTCAAATGCACCAACCTTTTCAAAAACACTGGATGGTGTCATCAAACAAAATCTGATATTCTGAATGATGGTGTCAGTATGTCTCCAGCGTCTTCTATCATGCCGCAGCCAAGTCTGAACAGCCTCATAGAGTTCTATCTCTGGGAATCTGCTCAGATGATCATTATCCAAATAAGTCATAAGCTTTTCAAAACTGAGACAGGACAAAAAATCAGGTCTGGCCATGAGAGGCACAAAATTTTCTAACAAAAAGGAATCCAGTTTTTCTCTTACTCCTTCAATGTTTACACCAAAATCATCTAAAAGTCTCATAATTTCTGCACAGTTTTCCAAACATATTTTTGCTAAAAGAAAGGAGCAGCAGAACTTCACCACTTCAATAAGTTGAACATACATGGCAGCCTGCAGGATCTCATGAACAGTGCTCATGCTCAGTTCAATAGTTCCATAGTACATGAACTGGAGAACATGGCTGAAGCCTGTTGCTGTCAGTCCTTTTAAGTAGATTTTGTCCTGATCTCGTTCCCTCATATCAGCAGTAAACATAATCCTGAAGTAATCACTTTGGGTGGCAAGAAGTGCTTTATGAGCTTGAAATTGGTGATCCTCAATGACAAGAGTGACATCAAGCAGTAATCCCTCCTCATACAGTGTTCTGAACCCAGCTGAGACGCTGGTGTCATGGATGGAGGAACTAAACCCTTCCACGTCCCCTGCCATGAATCACCTGGAAAAATGTAAACAAAGAAAACTTTAGAATTTCATGAAATTCCTGAAGGTTGGAAACCTTAATATTTAATTCATTGCCTCATTTTTTAATCTTGAATAATATAATTGGCATCTTATACAACAACAGTCAGTATAGAAAATCTTGCTTTAGTAAAAGTAATCATAACAATCAGTTAAAGATTTGTTTAAATATTAACTTTTAAAGTCTTTATCCCCAACTTTCATACTATGCATATTAATTATAATTCTGCTTCATGGAACTAGGTTTAAACTACAAAGTATTAAATTTGAACAAAGATCAGCCTTATTTGCAAATGAAGGGATGATAGAGCAAGGATGCTACATTTAGTTTAAAAAAAATCAAAACAACTTTGAGTCATTCTTGACTAATGGTGATTGGTTAGATGTGTCCAAGCAGTTTTCTTGGCAAGATTTTTAAAGCTTTTTAAAATTTATGTCACACAATACATTTATACCAATTTAAGATCATCCTAAACTTGTGTAAAGTTGAACAGCATCAAAAAGAAAAAAGAAGATAAAAACTATTAACATAGCACAAAAACCAACAATCAAGCCTTATAAAATACTGAGATCACATAAAGTCCATGTAAAGAACTAGACAAATGCATCATCTCTACTGCAATTAATAATATGCTCATTTTAGGGAAGATTCAGCAATGTGAAATAAGTAATTGTGCTTCATAATCCCAATCTTTTAAACACAGTTTGGAAATGGGATAAATTACAGCTAAACTTACTAACATTCCCTTTAGTATTTCCAAACATAAAGAATTTGCTTGTAATTTATATTCTCAGCCATTCTAGGTAAATCAAATAGGACAGGGGTCTGCAACCTTAAACGCTCGAGGAGTCATTTGGACCAGTTTCCCACAGAAAACACCGGGAGCCACAAAACCTGGGTGGGCCTGGCTAACTCAATGTCATTCCGGCCCAATGACATGAAACAACCCCCCCAACCACACCTATCTAGGTTTTGTGGCTCCCAGTGTTTTCTTTTCTGTGTGTACGTATCTCTTTCTGTGTCTCTCTCTGTCTCTCTCTCATGTGTGTGTGTGTTCCCTCTTGAACCATTTCCAAAAACCGGTAAGGATTGGGTTTTGTTTTATTTTGTTTTGTTTTGCTGATGTTCTTTCTTCTTCTTTGGATATTTTTACCATATGATTTAAATCAAGAGACATTTCAGGTTCCCAGATAAATGAAGCTTTCTCATCCCCCTGCTGTGGCTCCCTGTCAGCTGAACCCACCACTGACTAGCCCTGCCCCTCACCCTCCCCTCCCAGTCACTCCTCGCCTGGCCTGAGAAGCTAAGGGCGACAGTAAGGGATGGAGACTTGCTCCATATTCCAGAGTGGGAGTGAAGCACCCCTGTACTTGCCTCACTCTTGCTGGCACTTCTTCCGGCCCTTGTTGGTGCTACGTGCACCTCGGTGGCTAGGGGAGATGCGTGACTTGCTCTCCGCCCTGAGACACTATCCCATCGTTATGGGCTCCAGGAGGAGGAGGGGACGCAATCTCCCCCATTGTGAAACACACTAAATTTAACTGTCTGTGCAAGGCGCTACGAAAGCAGCAGGCAGACCATGGAGGCGGTGAGAGCAGCGGCATTGGCCAATATCTCGGGGCAGAGAGCAAGTCATGCATCTTCCCGAGTGATCGAGGTGTGCTCAGCACTAACAAGGGCCAGAAGAAGCACCAGCGGGATGAGGCAAGTACAGAGGTGCTTTGCTCCTGCTCTGGAATATGGAGCGAGTCTCCATCCCCTGCCATCGCCCTTACCTTCTCAGGCCAGGCAAGGAGTGACTGGGAGGGGAGGGCAAGAGGTGGGGCCAGTCAGTGGCGGGTTCAGCTGAGAGGGAGCCAGAGCAGAGGGATGAAATAGCTGCATGTGGCTCTGGTGCCGACACCCGAGATAGGAAATACAACAAGATGAACTAATCCTACTTTATTCTAAGGTTACATTAACAGAATCTTGCAAATCTGAAAGTACAAATCTCCCTCTGTCTCTTTTTACCACGTGATTAGGGTGGTAAACTGGGTGGATCCTTTCTAAGTTTCTTTCTCTGCCCATTATGCAGTTGGGGCTCTTCCCTTCCTTTCCTAAGGTCATACCCACATACCATTACAATATAAATATCAGAAAAGTCCAAATGATAAATTTCCTAATATAACATTTATAGATAAGCAGCATACAGAATCACAATGCAAGTTTAAAGATCTTTTAAATCAGTTATATTTTAATTCTTCATCTCCTCTGTACCTTCAAACAGATTAGTACAATAATATTCTGGGGCATCACTCCAAAGACTTTATTTCAAAGTACACTTTACAGAGAAGACTTCTAAGATCCCAAGGACATTTCCTAAATGTCTGTCATAATAAACATAAATATTTGACTTCCGGTGGTGCTGTCGGGGCAGCGCAGAAGGAAAAGTATGAGCTCCATCCTTTACCTCTGATTTTTCCGCATTGGGGACCCTTCGAAGGCGCATGGAACTTGTAGAGCTGTGCAAAGCAGAGGGGAATCCCAGAATTTGGCATGGTAGTGGGCAATCGCCCGCTGAAGCAAGGGAAGCCCTCTTTAATCCGGCGAGATGTTCCATCATTCTATCAGATATGGTGGACCCGAGGCCGTGACAACCCACAAGAGGATCAGAAGCAAGTATTGTCAGCAGACTGTGACTATTTCCCCTGATGAGAAATTCTCCTTTGTGTGGTGATTGGATTTGTCAAAGTAAGTTAATTTAAAAACTATTTGGGCAAACAGAAGAGGCTCTGATTGAAACGTAGCGGCGACTGAGAGAGACGAGCTGTGATTCATCAAAAAAAAGGAAACTGCAGAGGGAGGAAAATGAAAAGGAAAGTGGGATTTGAATAAGATTGTAAGCGTGAAAACGAATGTAGGAGAGGGAGCGGAGGACAACGGTGAAAATAAATGGGAAGATTTGGAGTATTGGGGAAAGTGACATCAGAAAGAACAAATTGATGATTTTCAACGAGAAAAAGTGGAATGAAGAGGAAAGGAAGTGACTAGGCTAAATTGGATCTACCGGCAGAAGTAAGAAAGCCAAGGAAAAACAGTAAGAGAGTGACTGGAAAAAAGAAGGAGAACGGCAGGATAAGGAGATTTGAACATAATATAACACGATATAATATTAAGTGATTAAATAGAAAAGAGAACAGTGGTGTTGCGGAAACGAGATTGAGATCAGTCAAGAAATTGGAACATCTGGGGGAAGAGGAAAAAAACAAAAACTGAATGTTATAACAGAGGCTTTGTCTTGTGTGGAATATTGACAAATTATAGACAGTGATTAAGGATTTGGAAATAGAAATTCCCCCTTTTCTTCCTTTAAATAATTTTGTTGGTTCTTGTTTTGATATTTGATATTGTTCCGGTCATATTTAAAAATGTATAGATTAAGTGTTATTAGTATTATTAATAAATATTGATTATTTAGATTATGGTGAAGAAATCAGATTCAATAGAGAAATAGTTATAAACTTTTATAAATTCTTGTAAACTAAATATTTAAGAGTAGAAATACCTATTATATTAATTATATCCATATAATATAACTCAATTTACTGTAAGTAATTAACTAAGCAATTAATTTGTAACTGGATTGTAATTATATTGTACTGTATCTTTATGTTGAGTTATTGATATATAATTGTAAATCTCTGATTAAGTAATTAAGGATAATACAATAGAAATAGAAACTAGAGGGTAAAATATATTTAGATTATAAATAATAGATAAGCAAACTCAGTGACAACAATGGATGGTAATTTGGGCAAAAATTTACAATATTCTGGGAGAACAAAGTAGAATCTTAAAAGAAATGACTACTATTACTACCACAATCCTAAGAGCAGGGGAAAAGGCAGCATCAAATCCGACGGTGGCGATGGCCTCCCCAACAAACCAGAAAACAATAGATATGATGCTCCCAGCAGAAAAACCTAATACTAACTTATCGGTTCAAATGATGCAATCTACACTGGTTACAATACAGGACACCATGATGAAACTGCAAGAAACAATGGTTAAAAATCATGGAGACCTGAAACTGGATATACAAACATTAGATACCAAAATGGATTCAATCCAACAGGCAATACAAAAAAATGAATAAAGAATTAAATCAGTCGAAATCAAAACAGAACAAACTAAAAAAAAATTATAACAGGTAGACCAAAAACTAATGCTGGCAAATAAGGATTTGGAAAATTCCCTGATAGATCTTGAAATGGACCGAGCCGCTTTCTATTTGAGGTTTCAGAATGTAGTTGAAACAAAAGAAGAGAATTTAGGGGAGATAATGGCGGAACTGATTGCTGAAGCTCTGCAAAGAGGCAAACAAGAGATTAGGAACAAACTTGATGAAATATATCGAGTTCAAACTAACTATGCAAGATGTCACCACTTCCCAAGAGAGGTACATGTTAGATTTGCACGCAAAAAGGTTCGGGAGGATGTATATAAAACTACAAAAGAAGAACCAATACTCTATAAAGGGACAGAAATCATAACACTAAAACAGATTCCTAGATGGATACGAGAACAAAAGAGGGATTATAGGTTCCTGGCATCACTACTGAATACAAAAAAATTCTATTAAGGTGGATCATCCCAGAAGGAATGATAATAACTTGGCAGGAGGAAAAAAATTAAAATTGACAACTTGGACAAAGCCCAAGAATTATTCGATCAATTGACAGGGGTGGAGTAAAGCTCAAGCAGCAGAGAGCAATTGGAAATAGTTAGTACAGAAGAACAAACACAAGGATCTGGAAGTGAGGAAATGGAAGAAAGAACTAGGGTGACAATGGAAAACCAAGATGAAGGAAAGGAAACTAGGATCAGACCAAAAAGAACTATTAGGGCAACCAGAAATCAGAGACCGGCAGACAAATAAGAAAATAGAGAAAAGAACCCAACTACTATCAATAAACATAAATGGACTGAATGATCAG